GGAGCCAGGAAGGGCTGCGGGAGTTAGAAAGCCCCACGGCCGCCGCGCTACCCGTGTAAACTGCCTGGGCTTGCACTGGAGATCTCCGCAGCACTGGGCTTGTCCTGACCGAGGGCTAGCCTGGTCACCTAGCCAGAGTCAGTGCTCCAAACCGTAGCGGTTGTACTTCGTCCTGCCCCGAGGGCAAAATAGCTGCTCTTCGGGGGCATCTCGTGCTGGAAATTGCTGTTGGCGTTTCACAGAATCACAGAATATTCTGATTTGGAAGGGACCCACAAGGATCATAGAACTATGATCTTTTAGGGGTTGGAGTGGACCTTATAGATCATCTAGTCCCAACCCCCTGCCATGGGCAGGGACACCTCCCCACCAGACCAGGTTGCTCAAGGCTTCATCCAACCTGGCCCTGAACACTGCCAGGACTGGGGCAGCCACTACCTTCCTGGGTAGTAGGTGTGCTCATCAAGGTCCAGCTTGGCCCTGCACAGAACTTCTGCCAAGAACCACACCATGTGCCTGAGAACATTGCCCAAATGTTTCTTCAGCTCTGTCAGGCTTGGTGCTGCGACCACTTCCCTGGGAAGTCTGTTCCAGACAGTGCCCAACCACCCTCTGGGTGAAGAACATTTTTCTAATATCTAAACCTCCCCTGACACAGCTTCAGACCATTCCCTTGCATCCTGTCACTAGTTGCCAGAGAGATCAGTGCCTGCCCCTCCACTTCCCCTTATAAGAAAGTTCTATACAGCAGTGAGGTCTCCCCTCAGTCTCCTCCAGGGTGAACAAACCAAGTGACCTCCTCCTCTCACTGCAGCCTCAGGCACCCCTTTTCAGAGATGAGCAACTCCAAAGCCTTCAGCTGGGCCTGGCAGGCCACACACATGTGGCGTTGGATCCCCCAGCCAGGATACCACAGATGGCTAAAGCCCCGGGTGCGATCCGGTGCCAGCCTCCGTGTCCTGGTGTGGTACCCCTGCAGTGCCAAGCCCCGTGCACGGCTCACCTTCCACCTTGCAGCACTGTTATCCTCACCTGCGCTTCGAAAACCGAGATCCTTTCATGCCATACCTTGTCATCAGCTTCCTGCTTCATATTTTATTGACACATTTATTTTCTCACCAAAGATAGTACTCAGCACTTGCTTTTATTGAGTCTGATCTTGTTTATCTCAGCTTCTCACATTTCTCAGTGTCATTTTGCATCCTGACTTTTGTCTGATTGCAACTGTTCCCAACGTGGTGTCCTCTGAAAATTTTCTAAATATGATCTCTGCTAGTCAGAACTAATCTCTCACAATTAGGAGCATGCAATACAGGTATATATGATGGAGGTTACAGAGAACAGAGGATGGTGGATTAGAAAATGCTACCTTTCCTTGCAGCAGGCAGGAAATCATCTTTCCCACTAATTAAAACAACAAAATGGCCTTTTTCATGTATAAATGTGTATATTTACTTGCATGTATGGAAGAGAAATGTATAGTATAACTAAGGTGTGGATATTCCTCTGTACTTGTATCTAAAATAGATGGGTTTGTACACTTTGAGGTTAATATGATTTATTTAGCAGAGATACAGTTTGAAATGGTGCATATATCTGTGTGCAAAAAACACTTAGAAATTCTGGGCAGGGCAAGTGAAACCAATTTACCTAGAGCTCTGCTTCTAGCTGAGAGATATCAGTTCTTAACCTTTATTATAAATAAAATTACAAATACCATTGAAAGCTAATGTGTATAATTTAGGAAAAAACACCCAACAAACATCTTTTCTGATACAAGTTTTCCTGTTAATTAATTAACAATAAACTCTAGAGGCAAACTATAAGTAAGAAATGCCAAAGGCAGAAGACTTACTCATTACTGCATATTCAGAAAAGTCATTTAATGTACACGATAAGCATCAAAAGCAACTGGAAGAAGAAATGGAACATTTTCATTGGAAAATAATATACCACATGCATATGGAAATCTGGTTGATTCAGACTTAGCTGAATGTGCAACATCTGTAGGGACCAATCTTGAAAAGGCTGGAGAATATGCTTGAATTTAAATATGCAAATAGAAATTACTTTTGTGCTTACAGCTGCTTATTTTCTTAAATATTTGCATAACCAGATCCATAGCTTGTTATCACAGATTACCTAATTTACAACAAAAATAATGTTTTATTGAAATAAATTAATATTAAAATGGATTTGGTTTTGGTTTAAAGTTAAAAGATCTCTGTAGTCTTCGGTTGTTAGCTTATATGTCACAGTATGTACTAGGCAAAATTTCATTTATATGCAACTATTTTAACCATAGTAATTTAACAATTAGCTGTATGTTGAGCACAGGGGTATTTCACCTAAGGAGTATATACTGCACTTCAGGAAGAAAGATTTCATACAGCTTCTTTCCTACAAGGAAAAAAAAAACATTAAAAATTTACACATTTTGGATTTGGACTGAGAAAAATTTGTTAGAAAAATGGGTATATGTGGAATGTATCAGTGCCCTGCTACAGGAACATACATGGCATAAAACCCAGAGACAAACAGATTTTTTCCCCCTTTTTCTGTTCTTTCAGATCTTTGCATTTTCTTTTAGAGTTTTTACTCCTTTTTTTTCATCTCATTAGTTTGCACAAACTAAACATAAGATGGGAGTGTGATTTGGAAATTAATGCCACTTAACTTGTCTCGGGTATGAAATGGCTACACAAGATATGTTACGCAGGAAAATGAGACTAAGATGAAGACTAAAAATCATAATCAGACTAAGGAAATAATTATTGCCATCATTAGGCCTTGGAGATTAGTATTCCATGATCTGAAAGATTATATCATCAATAGCTGTATATAAGTTACAGAGAATTTTGAAGGATAGATTGTAGAGAAACTGTTTGAGCATTTTCGTATGTTTATGAATATGTTACAAAGTGTGTTTTAAATGTAGTGTACACATAATTTCACCAATATTTGCCTAAGCAAAGTTCATGGTGAGGCCCATATAATTCTACAGCATACCTCAGTGGGAAGAATTTCTTTCATCTGTTTCAAAATTGTGCATCTGACCTCACAGAAGAATGAGCAATACAAAATGCTGACATTTTCTTCATCCACTTTGTTAATGCTGAATGCTTTTTCCATGCCTCCTGAGACTTCTCTGTGTGTTCAGGTCATGCTTTAATTGCTCAGTTGAGTACATCAGGCACCCATGACCTAAAGAGGAGCCATGTCCAAATCTAGTCCTTCTTAGAAGACTGGGGGGGACCCTGCAGTGATTTGCCCAAAAGTCTCATGCATCTTGCAGCTCTGTCCCCTCGGAGAGCCAGCTGTGAGAGTTGGAGGCCACTAGAGCTGTGCATCCCAGGGCCCCCTGGGAAGGGAAACCCAGGGAATGGAGGCTTACAAGCCCCACAGCAGCATGATGTCGTCTGAAACCACTCCATCTTTCCTGAAGATTCCTTGTGGTGTTTGAGAACATGAAACATTTTTCCCCCTGCCTCTCTGCCTGGTTGTTCCTTCCCCATCTGGAAGTCTTTTAAACATGGAAAGAGACTTCTGTGTGCCCTTTCTACAAAACTGGTTAGAAGCCCATGAGAAAGATCTTTCTGTGCACGTCCCTATGAGTCAAACTGCAGACTCTAGTAACACCATTAATCTGAGCAGAGTGCTTCTAATGGAGAAATGTTATGGTGAGACAGCTCTTTTGAGTGCTGGTGGTGATTCTCAGTTTGCACTCCTTTATCATCAAAAATAATACGAGCACACTCTTAAAACACCACTGAAAATAAACCCCATAATGAATAGTGGTAATTTGAGTTCATTCATGATGAATGAACACAAAGACATGTTTTTCAATGCCAAGACACTGGGCTGTGGTTGTGAGGCAATTCCTTTCTGAAGAAATATTTATCATCACATTACGTCATTCCAGATGTTACTTAAAGATTGAGGGTTTCACAGTTAAATAAGTCAAATCTTTTAATATCATCATGTCTGTGCTTTGCAGGCTAGAACATTGAGTGTTTGTGTTTTCCATAATGCTTGTGTTAGTCTCAATTAATGTGTCATTTCTGAGGAGGCAATCTTGTATATACCATGACTGAATGCTGTTCCAACTAAAGTTTATTGCAATGTAAACACCTCTTAGGAAGAATTGTATTCTCGTATGAAAGGAGAAAGAATGAACTTACCACTTAAAAATTCTGCTTATACAGTTGCAGTGCTCTCCCAGCAATGTATTCAATGAACTCAGGACTCTTTGGGTCTAAGTTGGGAGGAACTTTAATGGTGAAAGTAGGTGAAGTCAGAATATTCACGTCTACCACTGTTTCGTTTTTACTGGAGGGATCCCCGGGTACCACCTAGGAGAGATCAGTACTTCAGACACTACGAAATACTGCGTACTTTCAGTTTTGTTTATACTTACTTTGCCTACTGTCTTTTATATGGGAAAATTAAATAGAGAAATAATTTAGACTTGCCTACTTTCTTTAAATTGCTTTCTTCTGAAAAGACAGTGGGTGTCTGAATTTATGCCAAAGTTTATTGTAGGTTGAGGAAAGACCTGACATGGCACTGCAAGACCATATTAAAGAACTGCATGTTAATATTTATACCATGAACTGCATCTATAAAGTACTTCTGTTCTCCTAATGAAAACTTAGGAGTTGTTCCATTAATTTCAATAAAACCTTTGTGTGATTGAAGTTATTCATTCCTATGTGTTCTTCTAAACCAGACTTAGTTCTGTAGCTTTATTTTTTTCTAGAATAGATAGCTCAGACTCCATTGGGAAAGTGTGCCTGTTCCCTTGTTCTTAGTTTGTGCTTTTTTTGTTGGATTGCAGTGTCATTTTGCATGAAGTTCTTGTAGTAATAGTAGTAATCCCTTATATATCAGTGGGTTTCTGAAGGAAGAATAGAATCTGTGCCTTGTCCAGGACAATGGATTGAATTTACCTTGGATATATTCTTCTGTGTGAGATACAATTAATCATGATGCATTTATTGGAATATTGACAGATGATGTCAAACATTTGCAACTTCCACTGCAACAGTCTGTATAACATTTGCTGCCTTTGAACTTTGGAATATAAAAGTACAGACACAGTTAGCAAGATATTCATTGATCCAATACGGGTATGTACAGTGCAATTTATCTGTGAAGGTAACCTGAGGCCAGTCAAAGCTGCTAGTGTCAATTTACTCTTATCAGACAGTGATTCAGGTTAGCCTGTCAGCCATCCATCTGCCTAAAAGGATTTAGAGGAAAATAGTTTCTAATCTCAGGAGTTTCAGCTCATTGAGGGATTATCAAGCATACACAAATTCAAGATGACTAGGAACATTCTGTTGTAAAGCCAAATATTACACATGTACAAACATTCACAACCCCCAAGAGTATAAGCACGAGCAAAGGGCAGGTTAAAGGCAGCAACAGCTCCCTTCAGAAGACAGCCCTTACCTTAACTATATTGAAAATGTTTTCTGGTCCGATGGTTGTATTGGATAACTCAGACACCCATCCAAATCTTTCTTT